GGTTAATGCTTGATTTGCTGCTACCTGTAAGGCTGGTGCTTCAACCACCCATAGGTACCTCGGAAGGCCTTGTGATCTTCTTCTAACAAAAATCAGCATTAAAAACTGTTGTTGTTAGTGCCATCAAGTCAAACCCGACTCACAGTGACCCCTCTTGGGTTTCCAAGGCAGTATCACTATAGAAGTAGATTGCCCAATCTTCCTTCTGAGGAGTGGCTGGTGGGTTTGAACCGCCAGCCTTCTGGTCAGCAGTCAAGTGCCTTAGGCACTATGCTACCAGAGCTCCTATTAAAAACTGTACAGAGCACAATTCTACTGACACCATGAGTCTGCCATGACTTGGAATCAGATGGGTGGCAATTTTTTTTTTAAATTCCTGAACTAGTCACTGTGGAAGGGAATTGGGACTACATTTAAACCATTAGGCCAACCCTAAGAGCTGCTCTTGAGAAACGCACACAGTAGTGATTCTCAGCCTTGCATGTACATTAGAATCAACTGGGCAGCTTCACCTCCAGAGGCAGTGTTTTGGTGTCTTTTCTGTACCCTGGAAGAGTCTCTCAAACTGCCAATTCCATACATTCACTTGAATGTCAAAGAGCTTCTCAGATTTAATTCAGAACTCTGGATTTGCTTTCACTCTCCAACCCATACCTGCTTCACAGTATTCCATCCTAATTAAAACCACCACTATACACCCAGTTGCTCAAGCCAAAAAAGTAGGGGTTTCATTTAAAAACCAAATCTTATCTATCAGCAAGAATTACCAGATTTACTTTCAAAATATCATCTGACTCCTAACATGTTTCAGCCTTCACTACTTCCATACTCCAAACAGGTATCTCTAACCAACCTACCAACCCTAGGGAGTGGGGGGTGGCGTCTCCTCATTTACCATGCATGAGAATCCAGGGCTTGTTGGATTGCTGAGGCCTGAGGATTTTCATTCCAGTAAATTCCCAGGTAATGCTGATTGAGATGGATTGTCCCAGGGACTGCAACAACAGGGTAAGGCATAGCAAGGATTATGAGGATGGCGCAGGACCGGGCACTGTTTCATTCTGTTATACATAGGGTTGCTGAGTTGGAGCTGAGTTGACAGCACCTGACACCAACAATGCTGATCCAACTAGTTTGTTAGGTGCTCTCAGTGGACACAGATACCACGCGATAAAGCGTAACTGCCCCTAGGGTGTTTTAGGCTGTAATCTTTACAAAAGCAAGTCACCAGGTTTTTCTCTTACAGAGCAGCTGTGTGGGTTTGAACCACAAACATCTTGCTTAGCAGCCAAATGCTTAACTATTGTGCCATCAGGGCTGCTCTTGATGATCCGTTGTTGTTGACTCATAGCAACCCCTCCTTGGGTTTCCAAGGCAGTATCACTATGGAAGTAGATTGCCCAACCTTTCTTCCGGAGAGTGGCTGGTGGGTTTCAACCACCAGCCTTCTGGTTAGCAGTCAAGTGCCTTAGGCACTATGCTACCAGAGCTCCCCCTGATGATCTAGAGACCAGATTTTTCTAGCCCACAACACTGTAGGCTCCAAGCTAAATATCTTCTACTGTCAGCCAGATTCACAAAGCAACAAGAGTAACATTTTTAAAGCTTAATACCAAAAACCAAACTCATTGCCTGTGGAGTCGGATCCCACTCATTAGTGAGCTCTTCTTGGGTTTCCTAGGTGGTATCACTATGGAAATAGATTGCCCAACCTGCCTTCTGAGGAGTGCTGGTGGGTTTAAACTTCCATCCTTCTGGTTAGCAGTCAAATGCCTTAGGCACTACACCACCAGAGCTCCCAAAGCTTAATGAGCTGGTATTATTCCAATGTCTACCTAACAGCCCAATGCAATGGGAATACTCTCAAACCAATCACATGCCCCTTGCAAACCACTTACTCCTAATTTTAGCTTTTTTTATTTCATGAATTTTGTTCCCACTGTATGGGACGGTCCTTTGTATCTTGATACGATTCAATTATAATGGAGTAAGTTTTCTAACTGCCAACTCTTGGGGAAATTATTCTCACTGCCTAGTTAAATCAGGGTCAATGCTACTGGAAATAGCAAAGAGCAGAGAGAGAAAACATCAGCTTTAAATTCCCAGGTCTCAAAAATCAAGCGTCAATTGACTTAATGCAAAGAGTTTTTTGTTTTGGGGGAAATCTTTAAACTCCTAAATCAAGGTACTTTGAGAACCAAAGATACAAACTCCAGTGATTTGACCGCAGCCTATGTAAAAGCCAAAGTATCCTTCTTTTTACTGCACACCCCAGAAACACATAATACAAAATCCAAACTACCAGCGACTTTACTACTTGGGCCTATTTTTGTTCCACTTTCTTACCTTGCATAAGGCATCAAACTTAATACAATAAAAGGCAGGTTATACACTAGAAACAATCAGAACACACAAATGTTTACATGTAATGCAGGCACCCAAGTTTTCAGAGTAATCTGAGAAAAAGGCGGAGTCCATCTTCACCTCATAAAATTCTTCATCCACCCTATGTGACTGTAAACTCATCAAAAACCATTAGAGCACTAGGGAAACAGATTAAAACCCGTATTACAAGTTACAGCTTTTTTTTTTCCTGACAAAATGGGTGGCTCTGAAAAGAGCCTTTGGAGCAAAGAGGCCGGCGACTCGTTTGAGCGCCAAGTCCCAATAAGGAACTCACTTGGAGCTGGTGTACTTGGTGACGGCCTTGGTGCCCTCGGACACCGCGTGCTTGGCCAGCTCGCCCGGCAGCAGCAGGCGCACAGCCGTCTGGATCTCCCGCGAAGTGATGGTCGAGCGCTTGTTATAATGCGCTAAGCGGGACGCTTCACCAGCGATGCGCTCGAAGATGTCATTCACGAAGGAGTTCATGATACCCATAGCTTTGGACGAGATGCCAGTGTCGGGATGGACCTGCTTCAGCACCTTGTACACGTAGATAGAATAGCTCTCCTTGCGACTTCGCTTGCGCTTCTTACCGTCTTTTTTCTGAGCCTTGGTGACAGCTTTCTTAGAACCCTTTTTGGGAGCAGGAGCTGACTTAGCCGGGTCCGGCATGGCGAGAAACACGGAGCGCAAAAACACAGAATGTCGTCAATACAACACTCAGACCAGGTCTGTTAGCTATGGTTAGGTACTTATAGAGGCCGTATGCAAATGAGAGCTCCGACTACTTTGCGCTGTGATTCGCGCGTTTTCGGTGGAGGCGGTGCGAGAAGAGCGAGATTATGTAAATGAATGAATTCTGACCCAGCGATCCTATTGGTGGACAGAACAAAGGTGCGCTTTAGCCAATCAAAACGGTCCGTAGACAATCGTCGCTCTGCCTATAAAAGAGTGAACCGGAGCGCTTCGTGGGACTTTACCTGTTGTGTAGTACGAGTTGTGTGTGGGGAGTTTTTGGTATAATGTCTGGACGTGGCAAGCAAGGAGGGAAGGCTCGCGCTAAGGCCAAGTCGCGGTCATCCCGCGCTGGCCTTCAGTTCCCGGTAGGCCGAGTTCACCGCTTGCTCCGTAAAGGCAACTATGCTGAGAGGGTGGGGGCTGGTGCGCCAGTCTACATGGCCGCGGTGCTCGAGTACCTGACGGCGGAAATTCTGGAGCTGGCAGGCAATGCCGCCCGTGACAACAAGAAAACACGCATCATTCCTCGTCATCTACAGTTGGCCATTCGCAATGATGAGGAGCTGAACAAACTGTTGGGTAAAGTCACCATCGCCCAGGGCGGCGTTTTGCCCAATATCCAGGCGGTGTTGCTTCCGAAGAAGACGGAGAGCCACCACAAGGCAAAGGGCAAGTGAAGCTGCTGTCTGGAAGTTTACCTAGCCTGAATTTCAAAGGGTCAGCCATGAAACCAAAGGCTCTTTTCAGAGCCACTCACGCTGTCAAGTAAAGAGTTGTTACAGTAGCCACTCTTGTTCCAATCTACGTGGACAGCAAAGGCCCAACTAGTCCAGAAAAAGGTGAGGGTGGGTGGTTGAGTGCCATTTGCTTTTTGCCCTTCTCTCAAACGCTGTGAGTTATGGCAATTTTAAGCTTTCTTTACCTGGTGGCACGTCTTTAGACATCTTGAGTGCCACCTATGGTCATCTACCGTCATAACTAAAGGCTCCTGGGCAGCACCTCATGAGTCAGGTCGCTCGTTGCCTAGTATTAGGTTGTTCCTGAGGTCGTTGCTCACCACGTAACACCCTAAACCAAAAAAATCCAAAACTCACTGCCATTTGGTTCCGACTCACAGCGACCCCCCTCCTTGGGTTTCCGAAGCGATATCACTACAGATAGTAGATTGCCCAACCTTCCTTCCGAGGAGTAACTGGTGAGTTTGAACCGCCAGCCTTCTCAGAGGTTAGCAGTCAAGTGCCTTAGGCACTGCGCTACCAGAGCTCCCAGGAGGAAACAATAAGCCAGAGCAAACTGGAGGAAGCGGGGTGGGGTGGGAAAAACCTGTTAAAAGATACAAGGTGGTGTTGAGGGGCCAGCGAGGAAGGCACAAAGTTCAATTCCGGAGCTACACACCCAGAGCAGAAAGGAGGGGGAAATGTTGTCAAAGGTAAGGTAACGTGTCCTAAAGGAGTGGAAGGCTTAACGCGGTTGCAACCAAAGACGCTTCTCAGCCAGAATGAA